ATTTGTGGTACTTCTCGGTATGTCCTAAGCTGCTTTACTACATTTTCAAACATCTTTTTATCACAATGTAGTCTGTTTGATTTATTGTAGTTTCTCCTAGGCTTTTCAATTATGTAAATGTATTTTATGATGGTTAAAAAAGTTGTTTGTAATGCAAAGGATGTTTTCTTCGCAAAAATGCACCATACGCTTCCCCCTTTCATTTATAGATCCACGACCAAGTTTTCCATAAATGTCACTAAATTTTATGTTTCCATCTTTTACGTTTCAGTCACATTATCAATAGTACTTAATTTGATTTTACTAGTTTTGGAGTTTTACAGACCTTTCAGAAAACTATTCTACTTCTACGTGTAGGTGTTCAGGTGTTAGTGTATATGCCTAAATAATATGCATATTGAATGGTCTTCCTTCTAATTTGATCAACAGCACTATCAGAGATTGGCCAAAAGCTTAAGTTTTTTTTTTTAATGTTTACCAAGCATTATTCCCAATCTTCGTTGATATTCTTCTCCAACTGAATGGATGAGCTCATAACTACCCTTACTTATAAATCCACTTCCAGTTCATTTTACTTTGCATAGTCTTGATACATAAGCTTTCAAAAATTCTGCTTTTTGAATTCCATTATCTTGTTTGACCCTCACAAAGAGGCTTCTTATATTCCAAGTAACAATATTTAAACTACTACTCCGGCTTTTAAGGGGGAACTATTTAGACAGCAATATTTCAGTTCAATCAGATGAATTTGAGTCATTGTTGTCATCGGTATGCCCTATAGTGACCACTGAGTAGTGTGTTTTGTCACTGTATACATCATCGCAGATTACATGTATGATTACAGGTTGTTCGGGGTATGTGAATTATCATGGTTAACTGTAGGTATAATACGTAGTTAGGCCTTCATATTTTCCATTGTGATTGACCAGAAGATTATTTTGTCGCCATCCTCTTCATCATATGTTGTCACTTGCTGTCAATACCACCCTGTCAGCCTTTAGACAAGCCACTACACTCAGTCTGGGAGAAGTTTCATCCTCATTGAAAGCATTCACCTCCAGCTACCTCCTCCCCCACGTACTTTAGCAAGGTGGTAGATGCCAGTATCATGTGCCCACTGCTGTGCTATGAAAGTTTTGAGAAGCCATAGGTGAGAGTTGAGTGTCCGGTGTATATTCTCATGTAAATATCTTCGTCCCACGTCTACACAGTTATGAAAGAGCCGTTTCGGAACACATAAAGGTCCATCTTGCCATTAACATTTTTGTTACCCCATACTTTGATGACCCATGCCCATCATTTAGTCGTTCTCTTGTATGTTAGTGTTGTGATAAAATAAGTAGCTTCTAATTTCATTCCACATTTTGGCATGATGGTCTGTGAACAAGAAATGAAACCTAAATACACATATGAAGAACAATGACGCCTAATCTTGAATAGTCCAAATTAGGTGATCTTGAGCCCAGACTCTATAGTCTTCTTGAACCTATTCTGAACAGTTGGAGCTGACACAGGAGCTTCAGATGCATTTGAGAGTCACAACAAAACTCCTATGCAGTTTATCATTTCGAGAATATGGTTTTAAGATAATCCATGTGATAAGGGTTGATAACATTTATGCCGACGTACTTTCATGTACTATGTAGTGTTACGATCATAGGGTGTTTTGTATTGGCTGTGTTCTATACTGTAATTATTATTGAAGTCTTGTAATCGTTTCGATAATGTATCATATTTGATGTATTGTTGCCAATGTATATGTATATATATTATATATATATATATAATCTCTTAGCTAAAAATTGCCTAACGCCAATTTTTAATTCTTTAAGGAGGGAGTTGTAACGAATTTGTTGTTATATATTTATTTTAATATTAACGTTTGTTTGGATTAAATTTATATTTGGAAACATACATAGCTTATACTGTTAAATATGTATTGCAAAATTCCTGCCTATTCTCCAAAGTTGTAGAAGGTTCTCAAGAGTAAGAATCAACAATATATGTATATACGTAAACGCTTAAATTTTTATTGTTACGTAAAACTGAACTTTCTAGAACGCCTTCACACGGCTATAAATATAACCAACGCGACGTGCCAAAGAGAGTATCTATTATTAGTTTGCTATAGCCAGTGTGTTATAAACTTTGGAAGCTATAACTGTGATTGCTATAACGCTTATCAATCGGAACTCCAGATATTTGACCAGGAGCATTTACAAAGTTCGAACATTACAACTCATTTAACTTAAGTAAATTCTCATTGGACATTAGTATTTTTACGAAAACATCACCTAACGACATCGATGGAAACTCAATCTCTAATAGGCGTATGAACAGTGAAAACTATAGGGCTAGTTAGCTTCTCGTGAAGCGAATTGTACCTACGTCAACTCGTAATTAATTCGTTCATCGTGAACCCTCGATAAGATATCGAAGAAATTCCAGACTACAAAGAAGATTTTATATTACTTGTAAGTTTGTGAAACTTTTGTTTATATACATTGTTTGTAATAACTATTTGTAATAATCATTATTGTAAATTGTATTTTTAAGTGTATATTAAAACGTATTTGTGTTAAAATC